ATTTAGCTCCAAACTTAATATTTAGTTTGCAAATATGTAGTTTGTTAAATAAATATTTAGTTTTTTATATAAATATTTAGTTTATTACATACATTTTTACTCCAAACTTAATATTTAGTTTGCAAATATGTAGTTTGTTAAATAAATATTTAGTTTTTTAAATAAATATTTAGTTTATTAAATAAATATTTAGTTTTTTAAATAAATATTTAGCTCCAAACTAAATACTTATAAATCAAAGTAAGATTTTTAAAATGAATGAATAAATGAATGAATGACACAGAGAAAAAAAAGGAAAACCTTATTTTTCTCTTAAAACACGCTAAATAACCATAAATATCGCTCCTCATTTTTGACTGCTTAACTTTACAAAAAGCACCCGATATTTTACATCCTCAATTCAAATGCAGTGAATTTAAGAAAAAAATGACTTATCTAGATTTGGATTTTTTTCTCACTAAAGAAGAAGATGTTTCTCCGTGTGTTTCGTCTGAGGCTACCTGATGTATTTCAGCATCTGGTATCTTTTTCTGACCCCCAGTGATCGACTGCCGCTCTTATCAACACCCTGCAAACACATTAGTGTATGTTACTTATTTTGTGTTGCAGAGTATCAGATTGGACTAAATTGTTGCCACGCTGAATTACAAAAGAGATCAGAAGCATCAGCATGCAGTGACATGATCTGATGAACCATTTCAGGGGACTGCACTCCCCGTTCCCAAATAACACAACTCATTTATTTCTGTAAATTGAAACATGATTTCAGCACGGCCCTTTCACGCTGCTATCAGCACTATTATTGATATTGAAAGTCTGATTGCACAACATCCTATGCAACCTGCAGTCTTGTTACATTATGCTGTTGAGCGCTCAGAGGCAGCATGTTTGTTTTTTCTTCATATGGATGCTTATTATGCAGAGAAAAGCACTTGAAACAAACAGTATTCATCTACACCAGCCCGAGCGTGCGTCGTGTCATATCAGGGCAGAGAGCGCTCGCACGGGGACTGCTCTCTGCATTTATTGGAGACATGCTGTAGGTCTTTTGAGAGCTCTGATTATTGGTTTCCATTATGACTTTCATCAAATGCTGAAGAGGCATATAGATCCCTAGTCTAAAATGTGAAACCAAAAGATCACTTTTTTTTACAGATTCTTCTTTTACTTCTGTTGAATTCTTCCTGAATGTTGTAGCTTCATAGAAGCAACCAGACCTTCTGATTGACTCCTAAGCCTCTTTCCCACTGAAAATAGTGTGTTAACTTAGTTTAAGCAGGTTTTTCTGCAAGTGGGAAAGGGGCATTAAGGTAAACTTGATCAGTAGTTATCTCACCTTTTTGGAGCTCTCTAAATCTTTCATAAGGTTTAGCTTCTTCTCCCTCCTTTTTATTCTAGTTTTATTTGTGAAAATTCACTAAGGATTCACTTAAAACAAATAGGGAATCGGCAAAGGTGTAACTTTGTAATGAAAGTTGGTGGGGGCTTTCTAAGGGTGGGGGCTGATGGAGCTACAGTTACTCCACCCGAACGCTTTCATTAGGTTTTTATATTTTTGAAAAATGACCTCAAACATATATTTATTGAATGTTTTCCTAATGTTGAAAACACATATTTATAGATAGTTAGAAAGATGCCACATATACATACCGGTATATACATATACATATATATATATATTAGGGGTGGAACGGTTCACAAAATCCATGGTTTCGTGGTCATGGTTTTCGGTTCGGTATATGTTGATTGTTACACTGGAAAAAAAATCGAAATTTAGATACTTTTTTTTTTTCTTAAAATAAGTGCATTTGTTCTTGGATTCAGTAGGTAAAAGAGAGATTTTGCCAAGGAACAAGACAATTTACACTTACAATAAGAAAACACAATTGCATTGTCTTATTTCAGGTGCATTTTATCTAATTTTCTTATTTTAAGAGCAAAAATACTCATTCCATTGGCAAACTATCTCATTTACCTAATCAAATTAAGCGTAAA